AGGAAACATCATTTCGCAAGATTAAATATTACTTATGAATGTAGAGCTACATTGGATGAACCAGATGGTCTGGCTATAGTTTTTGATCTTCCTAGAAGACGACAGTGAGGACTTGGGTAATATTTTGAGTTAATATTGTAGGAAGTATTAAATGTTTCTCACTGTAAAACCCATAGAGGCATCATGTGCTTTATACCGAATGAACACGCCTTTGTTACTGTTGGTTTTAAACCAAACAGGAATGTATATTTATTTCTAGTTAAATACAGAAATTTTGGCACAAGGCCGAAGGGGATGTATGGAAAGGCTGATACTCAATAACTATCTCTTATATCCCGTGCTAATAGGAATATATACTTGACAAACAAGGTGGATAAAATAAGTAAAGGTTTATTATAAGAAACCAGTATAATAAGAATAAGGGTAACAAATATGCACAAGTCAATCCAGTAGTAATTTATACTATTGGAAGGTCGGTAGTTCTCGCGTAAGTCTGAGTCGTACTCAAAAGATCCCAGGTAGTCTCTGTAGTCCGTTGACTTACAGATACTTATAGGCAGTTACTACCTATAGTGTAGTCACTGATCTGATATGCATTTGATATATATACAGTGTGCCTTTCATTTTCTTTGACAAGCATAAGGAATAATTAGTTTTATCTACTATTAAAATAAAGTAGCTCTAGAATTGCTACCGTTATCCATTTTCCCTCCTATATCTAAATAATTAGGAAGAATAGGATCTAGATTTTTTTGGCAACCAGTCTAAACATAGTGATTCGTTAAAAGCACTTGTCTCTCAGCAAGCTTTTTTTATTGCCCACTTTTGGGGATGTGTTTATTTGTGTTATATTCCGTGCTAATAGGAATATATACTTGAAAAACAAGGTGGATAAAATAAGTAAGAGTTTATAGTAAAAAAAAAAAAAAAACAGTACAATAAGAATAAAGGTAACAGTTATGCACAAGTCTATCCAGTAGTGAGTGCTACTATTGGAAGGTTGGTATTTCTTGCGTAAGTCTGAGTCGTACTCAACTGATCCCAGCTAGTCGATGATTGCCAGCCTCCCTACGAGGTAGGATGTGGCACAAGGCCGAGTTTAAAGTGGGGTTATCCGAGCCCGTAGGCTCGGTAAAAAATTTCCCGTAGACACTCTATAAAACGGGGTCTGTTTCCAGAGACGAGATTCTGCCCTTCAACATTGCTTCGTCTAGGGATCCTCTCTGCCCGGATGCAGAGAGTTTGATCAGCACAGCTGGAAAAGTTCCCAGCTAGTGTATCTAGCAACTGCCCCACGCAGTTACATGTGGCACAAGGCCGAATTTAATGTGAGTTTCCTGAGTCCATAGGCTGGACCAAAAAGTCCCCGTACACCCCGCATAAACGGGATTGAGTATGTCTACCTACCCGAACGAGACTCTGCCCTTCGGCATAGCCTCGTCCGAGTTCCTCTCTGTCAGAAAGCAGAGAGTTCGACAGTAGAGCTGAAAAGATTCCAACTAGTATATTTGCCAACCGCCTCACGCGGTCGAATGTGGCATAAGGCCGAATTTAACGTTGGGTACCCGAGCCCGTAGGCTCGGGCAAGATTTCCCTGTAGACCCCGTAAAAACGGGGTCTGCTGGTCTGTCTAGCACCCCAGACGAGACTCTGCCCTTCGGAATACCTTCATCTGGGTTCCTCTCTGCCAGAAGGCAGAGAGTTCAACCGTATAGCTGAAAAGAATTCGGTTTGTCTCTGTAGTCCGTTTACTTAAGGATACGTATAGGTAGATACTACCTATAGTGTAGTCACTCATGTGGGTAACAGGTTACTCCATTACATCACTATTATAGTCCTAGTTAAACGCAATCATGACCCATTCTTTCAATACACTATACTCAGTCACCTCTCAATCCTACATGTACTATAATACCGCATTTCAGAAGGGACCTACAAAACTCTTCAAACACTAAATAGGAATGACAGCAGAACACTTGCCCCTCCCATTTAATAGGCAAAAGAACAAAAATTCATTCTGAGATATTTTTCTTAGCCAATAAAATAGGTCGGTTAACAGTTTGCCATGTCTCAGTCCCGATCTGTCTTGTTCCCACTTGCTTTTTATGTGTCGACATCAATTCCTAGTTTGTGATTTTTTTTTCTTTCGTACTGTTAATTTTTATATAATGTTCGCTTGCTTGATATTATTTAATTTTTGCCCTGTTTCTTTTTCTTGCAAATTTTGTCAATGTTGCTGGAGAGTTCTGTTCTTTATTTTGCATTTGACCATGGCTATTCACTCCACAGTTTCCGTTTCTGGAAAAGAGCTCCTAATCTAACATTAAGTTTCGTATTTACACTATTTACTTTGTTCAGACGGTTTTCCACCTCTTTATTGTCATATTCACGACATCTCTGCCGTTGTACGCTCCGACCTTCTTCAGCTGATATAAGCTGGAATATGAAATCGAACCCTTTATTTAGTCCACATGAGTAGATTGTTTTAGTTACACGTGCCATACCTTTTCTGGACATTCGACTGAAAAGGCCGTTAATATAACAATAAAGATGAGTCGAAAGAAATGTAATTAGCGTAAATAATTAAAACACCCCATCTCAGAAATATAGACAGATCCTGAAGAAAGCCGGAGCGTACAGCGGCCGAAACGTCATAAATATAACAATAATGGTGAGGACAACAGTCCGAACAAAGTAAATAGTGTAAATAGTTACAATACCTCATCTCAGTAATATAAACAGATCCTGAAGAAGGCCGGAGCGTACAACAACCGAAACGGTTTGTGAATATGACAATAAAGATGAGGACAACAATCCGAACAATGTACATAGCGTAAATAGTTACAATACCTCATCTCAGAAATATGGACAGTTATTGAGTTTCGTATGCCATATTTCACAAACAAGATGCGTGCTAACACGTGTTATATTTTTTAGGCACTTTTCAACAGTGTCTCCAGATGGAACCATCTTCCCGTGTCGATAATATCTAGGAGATGGAACCATCTGTTCGTATCGATAGTCGTCATCATCATTATCCTTCGACCTCCTTGTGGTTGGTCGGAACTCCATTAACAATATCTTTACACACTGCTCGGTCCTGCATTGCTATCGCCAGATCCCCAATGTCCAAGCCTGAGTCCCGAGCCATGGTGTCTCTGGAAAGTCAACTTTCGTGAGAAGACAACTCCAGATGATCCTGTAGAAGGATTAATCGAACTCCCCGTCTAATCGGTGGCAATGGTCTGCAAACGGCAATCACTTTTGTTTGAGCTTAAGAGATATTGCTCTCAGTTCTTCGTAAATTGTGTTAACCGTTGCATGGGATCTCCAGCTGATGTTCTTGATTTTTCTCAGCAGATTTCCATCAACTCTCCAATCAATACTGAAGGAATGGTTCAATCAGTGTTCGAACGTTTTGGACTTTTAAAGAGGGTGGAAGGTGCAAGCGCCAAATCTTGTGATCTTTGTTACACGCATCCCATGCAAGTGCTTTGCGGATGTTGAAGTCTTTTGGGGAATCTAGTATGAGAAATCCAATATATTTGAAGTACTCAACTCTTTTGATGGATATTTTATTTAGTGACTTCAACTCAAATGGTTCAGGGGAGATTGGGATATACTCTGTCTTATTCACATTGCAACTTTACAAATCTACTGAGATTCGAAAACTAACCTCTTATTCCATTTGAATCCATTGCATGCTAATATCCTTGGGAGAGGTATGAATCATCTTCTTCTCCCTCCAGCTATGGGTAAATAGCAGGACAGACTGGGTTCTATAGCCTTTGATGGCAACTGCTCTACCGCAGAAAGAAATGGCAACCTACTTCGGAAAAAATCTGCCTCGTCAGTCATGTATCAAAAGATACATGATTTTCTAAGCGTGTATCACGCATGACACATAACTAACTGAAATTCACTTACGTGCTAATACCGTTGGGAAAGTTATGAATCCTCTTCTTCACCCCAGCAGGACAGACCGGGTTCTGTAGCCTGGTCTACCGCAGAAAGAAATGGCAACCTACTGCGGAAAAATAAATCTGCCTCGTCAGTCATGTATCGAAAGATACATGATCGCCTTAGTGTATCATGCATGGCACATAGCTGACTGACCTTCGCCCAGCGAAATCTTTATCTAAATTAAATTTTCAGAGTGCCGGCGATATATCGATGGCTAGCAAACATACTTCTCAATGTTCAATGTCACACATTGTTTTTTTAAATTCAAGACGTCACCGTTTCTTTTTTGTTAGAACATTCTCTTAAAATAAACGCTACATAAATAATGACCTTATGCCAGACAAGTTTCCGACAAATAAAAATATATTTTCCTAATATGCAAAATATTTTTTCTTTTTTTTTTTTCTCTTCGCTGTTCGATTCCAATACTTCTATGATAAACGATTAAAAAAATGAATAACTAAATAAAATAAAAAAAAATCGAAAAAATTTACCAACTGCCTACGCAGTCTCCCCTAAAACTGATTTCCGAATGCTGGGTTACCATCTGTACATTTTCCCGCCATTCCACTTGATTCAGCCAATCAGATTTCTCTACTAAAGAACTGTCCTACAGGAGTAAAAGTCTGTCGCCTTACGATGGCGTCGTTGGAGGTCTGTCTGTTCTTCTCAGCGCGCTGCTGAAGTAGGACCTCTCTCCGCCTTACCCTGAATAGGAGCCACGGGGTATCATCGTCATTCTTCAAGAACAGATGTTGGACACGTGTCTCGAGTATACAGCAGCTTTTAATCTCCGTCTCTTAATTCTGTCTTTAAGATTGGACTTCTTTTTAAAATTGTTCTTTAAAGCTTTTTTTAAAGAGTTTGAGTCTTTTATTTTTTTTTTGAAGGTTTTTATTTTTATGTTTTCGATCTTTCTCTTTTCATTCTTATTCTCAACAGTTTTGCATTCTTTTCCTGAGTCTTTTTCAATTGATTGTCTCTTTTTTTTTACTCAGTTTCTTCCTCTTTATTAACTCATACTCGTTAGTATTCCCATGACTTTCTTTCTTTCTTTACTTTTTTCTTTCTTTCGTTTTTCTTTTTTCTTTCTTTCTTTCTTTATTTTTTATTTCTTTATTTTCTGTTTGTTTCTTTGTTGTTTCTTTTTTCTTTTTTCTTTCTTTCTTCTTTTCTTTCTTTCCTTCTTTTTGTTTCTTTCTTTTTCATTCTTTCCATCTTTTTCGTTCTTTTCTTTCTTTCTTTCTGTTTTTAATTTTTCAAATTTTTGTTTCTTTCTTCTTCTTTCATCCTACATTAATAGATCACTTCCTTTCTTCCTTCATTTTCCTTCTTCTTCTTCTTGTTCTTATTCTTGTTATTATTATTATTATTACATTTAATTAACATATTTTCCTCTACCTCTTCTACTCATCCCATCAAAAGGTAATATATTCCTTTCTTTCTAATATTTGTTTCTCCTTCTTCTCACATACAACTTGAACAGTTCCTTTAGTTCTTATTCCATTTTCCTTCATCATCATTATGTTCTTCTTCTTCTTCTTCTTCTTCTTCTTATTATTATTATTATTATTATTATTATTATTATGTTTACTTAACATATTGTTGTTCCTCTACCTCTTCTATTTTTCTCATCTGAAGGGAATAAAATTTCTTTCTTTCTTTCTTTCTTTCTTTCTTCACCCTTAAAATTTCTTTCTCTCTTTTTCTTTTCTCTATCTTTGACAGATCCATTTCTTTCTTTCTTTCTTTCTTTCTTTCTTTCTTTCTTTCCCAATTTTTCCTTCTTCTACTTTTCCTTCTACATTTCATTACGTTTAATTAAAAAAAAAATATCTCCGCCTCTCATCTGAAGAGAACAGATTTATTTTTCACCACTTTCTTTCTTTTTTCTTTATTTTGCCTTCTTTATTTCTCCACTTTCTCGTTCCTCTCTGCGCTTCTTCTTATCTTATATTAATGGAGAATTTATCCTTTCTCCTTACATCAATTTTTTCTTCGCTATTTCGAAGCTTTTCTCTTCTTTCTTTCTTTTTTTCTTTCTTTCTTTCTCACTCATAATGAACATTTTTACTAATATCTTTTTCCTTCTCTTCTTTTACTTGTTGTTTTCCCTTCCAGTACGATGTCAAAGTTATTTTCTTTCCATCAAAAAAATTTCTGATTTTCATTGCTGTCCTCATTTTTTTTCTTTATTGGTTTCTATCTATTTAGCACACGTCTTTTTAAATTATCTCTCTCCACTTTTTTTCTCATTCGCTTTCCTTTGTTTTTCTTGAGTTACTGTTCTTCTATTTTTCTTGATTGACTTTAATTTGTCGTTATTTTTCTCCTGTCGCTTTTTCCTTTTGCAATTACTATGTTGGTTTTTGTTATTTTTTCTTTTCGTTTTGCCTGGTTTTTCCTTTAATTTTCGATTCTTTTCATTCTTTTACCTTTTGATGCTTTAATTCTTGAAATATTTTATATTTTATTCTTTCATACTTAGTTTCCCTTATTTCTTCTACAATTTCTTTTTTCTTTTCCTTCTTTTATCTCTGTTCTCAAAACCTTTCTTACTTATATATTTTTCTTTCATTGATTTTCGTGTATATTTTGTCGACTTTCTTCTTCTTCTTCTTCTATATTAATCATTCTTTTTCTTCATTAATCATTTTTCTTCTTCTTTATTAATCATTCCTCTCATTCTACTTCTTCTTCTTGATTAATCGTTCCTCTCATCCGTCTTCTTCTTCTTCTTTATTAGTCGTTCTTCTTTATCCTTTTTCTTCTTCTTCTTTTTCTTCTATATTAATAATTCTTCTTTTTTTATTAATCATTCTTCTATTTCTATATTAATCGTTCCTCCTTTCCTTTTTCTTTTTCTTTATTAGTCGTTCTTCTTTATCCTTCTTCTTATTCTTCTTCTTTATTAATCATTCCTCTCATCCTTCTTCTTCTTCTTCTTCTTCTTTATTAATCGTTCCTCTGCCCTTCTTCTTTTTCTTTATTTATCATTCCTCTCATCCTTCTTCTTCTTCTTCTTCTCTTCTTCGTCATCTATATTAATAATTCTTCATTAATCATTCTTCTTCTTCTTTATTAATCATTCCTCTCATTCCGCTTCTTGATTAATCGTTCCTCTCATCCGTCTTCTTCTTCTTCTTCTTTATTAGTCGTTCTTCTTTATCCTTTTTCTTCTTCTTCTTCTTCTATATTAATGATTCTTCTTCTTTTTCTCCATTAATCATTCTTCTTCTTCTTCTTCTTCTATATTAATCGTTCCTCCTTTCCTTTTCTTCTTCTTTATTAGTCGTTCTTCTTTATCCTCCTCCTTCTTCTTCTTCTTTATTAATCATTCCTCTCATCCTTCTTCTTTATTAATCGTTCCTCTCCTCCTCTCATTTCTTCTTTTTCTTTATTAATCATTCCTCTCAACCTTCTTCTTCTTCTTTATTAATCGTTCCTCTCATCCTTTTTCTTCTTCTTTATTAGTCGTTCTTCTTTATCCTCCTCTTTCTTCTTCTTCTTCTTCTTTGTTATTCATTCCTCTCATCCTTCTTCTTCTTCTTCTTTATTAATCGTTCCTCTCCTCCTCCCCTTTCTTCTTCTTCTTTATTAATCATTCGTCTCATCCGTCTTCTTCTTCTTCTTCTTCATCGTCATCATCATCATCATCACCTAATTCTTCATTATTTGTTCCCTTATTACTTCTTCAAAGTATTATCTTTCGGTCAATGTTAACCAATACAAAAGCCGAGAGCCTCTCGCGGTAGAGGATGTTGTATAGATATAGAAGAAGTGCATATTATGAGGATGTTGAACGGTTGATCCTACACGTGGCGAGGTTAAGATTGTAGTGATCGGGAAAACCACCTCTCGGGAGTCTATTTAGCAAATTATAGTTTCTCCGAAAGAAGCTACCCAAGTAGAACTTCCTTCTTACCGATGGGATAGGAACGGAAAAACGATGATTCGAACCTATGTACTTGGAATAGCTATAAGGGTCTGAACTTATGGAACTAAGGAATGTGGTTCGGCAGAGCATTTCACATGGGATTAGCGATAAAGTAGCGATTTCGTCTGTAAGATGGAATTTCAGGTTAGAAAAGAAATAATTGCTTACAAGGCTTTCCTTCAATATATTTATCTTTTCAACTTTACTATAAGATTTTTACATTTTCAAGTATGTTTACATATTTGTTTTTTTATCGTTTTCCTTTCCTCTTACTTTATATAAAGATGATCCCTGTTCTTTTTTCAGTTTCATTCATTAACTTCTTTTTTTCAGTTATCAATTTCCCTAATGCTTCTTTCATTGCGAGGTGGCACAGTTGCAGGCGTTTTTCCTCGTTACACTTAAAACTTAATACAGCCAAGAGGATTACATTCAATACAAGTCCATAGTGGGCCATTAACAATCTTTTCAGGTGGCTCACTTACAATTTTTTTCTTTGTTTGAGGAGAGACGTAATGGAATCATCTTACACATTTGGAGCATTTAAATTCTGTACAAATCCCGAGTTGGTCATTAATAAAAGACTAAAGTATTAAAAGAAACAGAGAATAAATGAAATCCTCTTAAAATATGAGAATAAAAAAGAAGAATAAAGCAATGTAGGTTGAAAGAATTAAAAAATCAAAGAATGAAAAGAAACAAAGTTTGAATGAAATTATCTGAGAATACAAGAATAAAGCAATATAGGAATGAAAGAATAGAATAAAAGTATCAAAGAATGAAAAGTAACAGAGAATGAAAGAAATTATCTGAGACTAAAATATAAAGCTTAAAACAATATAAGAATGAAATAATTCTACAATAAATATATCAAAGAATGAAACGAACCAAATAATGAATGAAATTATCTGAAAATAAAATAAAACAATAGAGCAGTATAGAATGAACAAATTCAAGAATAAAGTATTAGAGAATAGAAATTACAAAAGGATGAATGACATTGTTTGAGAATAAAAAAAGGAATAAAACAATAAAAGAATAAAATAATTCAAGAATGAAAAGAAGCAAAGAATAAATGAAATTGTCAGAGAACAAAATAGAAGAATAAGGCAACATAGGAATGAAAGAATTAGAGAATAAAAGCTCGAAGAAGGAAAAGAATGAAATAAATTATCTGTGAATAAAATAGTAGAATGAAGCAATGTAGGAATGAAAGAATTAGAGAATAAAAGATCGATGAAGGAAAAGAATGAATTAAATTATCTGTGAATAAAATAGTAGAATAAAGCAATGTAGGAATGAAAGAATTAGAGAATAAAAGATCGATGAAGGAAAAGAATGAATTAAATTATCTGTGAATAAAATAGAAGAATAAAGCAATGTAGGAATTAAAGAATTCAAGATTAAAAAATCATAGAATGAAAAGAAGCAAGCAGTTGCCATTCAGCACAAATCCACAATAGGTCATCTTGAAGACTTTTTCACAAATTACATCTTCAAGAGACCTACTTTCTTTCTGAAACGAAATTACCCTGCAGTATGCTTAAGTAATATGTTTACTCACTTCACATCCACCGAACGCAGCACGCGTATTTTTAATTGACCCTCACTCGAAATCATTTAGTCCGTAACACCGAAACTCAATTCATTTTGAGCCACATAATCTTTTCAGTTGACGTATAGTATGCACCTCACCAAATCTACATAACTTCTTGCTAGACACGGTTAGAGATCTAGTTGTTTGAGAACCGAGAAAAGAGATATATTCACACTCTTCCCAAGGGAATTTATGAAGAAATGCATTGAAAAAACTCATCTAGCCGATTTTCTCTTTCCACCCCACTCACACGCTACACATCTTTACACATTTTATGTGCTGCGTCCCCTTGCATTGCGTTACAAGTATAAACTCATAATGTTTCGCTTCCTTTACTCATTACTTTTATAGATATACACATCTTAGTGCTTGAAGATGATGCACACCCTTTATCAAATAAGTTTTAAATCTGATAAAGAGATGATGATATTAAATATTTTTGGTTTAGGGCTGGTTCATTTATTTACTTTTTCCGACTCCTTTTTTTTTATCGTCATTTAATTAATTCTTGTCTTCAGTCTGTTGTTTGCACCATTTCCAGGCCTGAAGCCATTGTAGGAACCCTGTTAAATGACAAACTGTTTTTAAAGTTGCTTTGCATTTCCTATTGTTTTCTGCGGTTTGCGGCATAGGCAATTATTCTCTGATATGAATGCAATATTTTCTTGTCTCGTACATTCTCTCGTTACCACGAGATTTTATCAGCCGTTTCGGTGACATTCTTTAATAACGACGTTATTATTCTGTTGAAAATAATGATCTAAGAAATATGTTTTTTTTTTAATTGGAAATACACATGATATTTGTTGTTTTTTTTACAATTGGAAATAATATCCGCACGTTTCTTAAAAAAACAAAAAAGAAAAAAAAAACAAAAAAGTAAAAAACAAACAAAAAACAAACAAGAAAAAAAAACATAAGCTGTGTGAACATTTTTTGTATTTATTTAAAGTATGCTCTACTGGAGTTCCCTTCAATGAGTCTATCGGAAACATTTCTTAATCAAACCTAGCCCCCCCCCTGGGTATGACGATAAACTACACCCGGTCCTGGGTAAAATGATAAACTACGTCCAACAGCAACGCCTGTGACCAGGACGTTTTGAGGAGCGTATAATCACCACTTAATTGCTGGTGTTCCCAGGTTTACCCTGACCCGGAGTGGTAGCACCTGTTAGGGTCCCAGCTATGGGCAAATACTTAATCTTCAAACTGGAGTCAAAACACTATGAAAGTGTAAAAATAGGTTTTAATACCAGAAATACTTCGTAAAAAATTATTGCCAGCAATATATGTAAAAACAGATATTACCAGCAATACATTTTTGGAAAAAAAAAAAAAAAGAAGATTTTACAAGCAATACATTTTTGAAACAAAAGATATTATCAGCATTACATTTTTGAAAATATTACCAGAAATAGATTTTTGAAGAAAAAAAAAATATTACCAGAAATACATTTTTGAAAAAAAAAAAAAAATTACCAGCAATAAAAATTTTGTCGGCATTAAATAATCCATTGAAGTTCATAGGCCGTAAAACAAACCAAACCAAAACAAACCTGGGGCTCCAACGACAACTAGAAATATTGGTGTCCTCATTTTAGCTTTTGATAGTTTTTCGAAGATCTTCAAAGATACATTGCAATTTGCATGAGCTGCCATGTCAATAAGAAAGCTCATTCTGTTTTTGTGGTCATTGATCACTATGTTTGTGAGATTAGATTTGACTGTTCTATCTTTTTGTGTATTGTAAAGTGCCATAGAATTGTTAAATGACCTATGACGTATAACTGTGACGAGGTGGTGTTAGTATCCATTTCTTGCAGTTTCATTTCCTTAAAAGTTGCAAATTTTAAAGATTTATTATTATTATTGTTTTTATTTCCTTTGACGTGTACACATTACTTTCCGGGTCCCACCCAGAGACCTAAGGTTAGGCATCATAACACTTTCCATTGACAAAAAACAAAAACAAAAAAAAAAACAAAGAAAAACAAAAAACAAAAATATTTTACATAGATAAAGCCCTTCGTAAAGTGTGGGCTGTACTTGTCAGAAAAATTTTCTGTATTTCTTAGAGGCATGGACTCCCAGGAATCCTTTCAATTAGTCTACCGAAAGCTTTTCCAACCAATCCCAGGGCTCCAACTACAACAGGGATTGTTGATGTTCCCATGTGCCATATTTTTGAGATTTCGATTTCAAGGTCCTTGTATTTTGACAGCATTTTGAATATCTGCAAAGACACACTGCAGTCAGCAGGGACTGCCATATCAATAAGGAGCCACTTTTTTGTGGTCTTTAATAACAGTGTCTGGGCGGTTAGCTTTGATTTTTCTGTGAGTGTGTATTGTGTTGTCGCACAGAATTGTAACAGGTCCTATCTCCGTAAACGGGTGTGGGTGTTATTCATACCAGTTTCTTTCAGTTTCCTTCGCGTAGAAGTTGCAAATTTTCCAGTGCAAATATTGGCCTACTCTGTCATGCCGGGTTTTATACTCAGTGGGTGCCAATA